AGACAACAAGTAGTCATTTTCCTTTTCGTTCCTTCCTACCGTAGCTTGCACGAAACCGATTCAAATGTAAATGGAATTCAAGATGACGTCATATTTTGTGTAATAAAAAATAAATCGTTTTTCAATGAAAATCGTAACAGGCTTTGCCGTCTTCGCAATTTCTTCTATATTCACTACAATTTAAGTTTAGAACTCGTAAATTTACACTGGTAGTCGCGAAATTGTAAGCCAAAAATCGAATCTTTGAAACTTCGGAAAGAAGTTTGAAATTGAAATTGGTAAGAAAGTAGAAAACTGAAAGTGGAAAATCAATAAAGCAAAAACAAAGCATAGTTTGCGTAGAATGAGCAAAAATACAAAATTTGAAGAAATTATAATTTCTAAATTTTCTGATTATGAACTCGTTATATCATTTTGTAAATCACTAGATTTTCGTGAGTTACGACCAAAAATGGAGTACGCGCAATAAGGCCGATGTTTAAAATATTTAATTAGATAAAATGAAAAAAAGAAAAATGCAAAGAAAACTAAAAACGTTTTATTATTTTTGTTATCTGTTTCAGCTCAATATATATGAATTTACTATGTATGTATGTATGTATAAATAAATGTATATATACCTTGAAAATAATAATAAAAAATAACCTGTATAGCTTATAATAGAAATATGTTCAAATATCAAATTTATATATATACGTATGATTAGTGCTAATATATGTGTATACCCTTTTTTCCTTTCATTGTTAGAAAGAGGACGACGAACAGGAGAGGGTTATAAATCTTGTTACTTTATGTTATATTATATATGTGTTGTAATTATATGTGTAATATTATTATGTGTATATGTATATGTAAATATATGGGTTTTTCCTTTTTTTTTTTTTTTTTTTTTAATTTAAATTTTAAATCATTATTATTATTACATTAGCAAGTACGTGTTGTATATTTCCATGTATAGATTATCTTTTCAAAAAAAAAAAAAATAATAAAAATAATAATAAAAAATTGTTTTACAATTAACAGTCAGTGTTGTTGTTTCGTTAAATTTAATGAAATCTGGTTTTAAAAGTATTTTTCTTTTCATTTATTTTAACTTAATTAATGCTAAAATTTTACTTGCAAATTTGTTGTTGTTACCTTATGTTTCATTTAAATTTTTTTCTTTTTTTTTCATTTTTTGGGATTGTGTTGCTATACCATTTAAAAAGACAAAAACAAAAAAAAAAAAAAAAAAAAAAAAAGGAATTAAAAGTTTTTTAATTTTCACTAAAAAAATAAAAAAAAAAAAAAAATATATATATATATAGACGAAGATCTTTATATAAAATTTTCAAATTTCCCATTAAAAAAATTAACTATTTTAAAATTTACTCTGTGTTATGAAATAGATAACGCTATCAGGTGTTTAAGGTGTGCTTGTAATTTTAATTTTTCTTATAGAGGACTTTTTCTTCTTTCTTTTAATATATACTTTTAACATTTTTCAATTAATTTTATATATATAGTTAAGTATGCTTAGTTATTAAATTTTTTAATCGTATAAGTTTTCTTCATATAGAATTATACATGCATATATATACATATATACATACACATGTATAGATTACATTAGATTAATACATAATTTTGTTTATGAATTATTTTTTAATTTTTTTCTTCTTTTCTTTTCTTCATGATGACATATATATTGTTGTTGTATTTGTTGCTTTCCTACTGTTCGAGAATAGATGTTGATGCCGTTGCTGTTTTGTTTTATTATTTTAGTAAACTTGTTTGATTTTGAAACAAGGCTTTTTTTTATATATAACCCATCAGTTCTTGTTGCAAATTATATAAAACAAGTAAAATAAAAATAAGTTGGCTCTCAAATCTTTTTTCATTTTTAATTACATGAGACTGGTTTTCTACGAAAATATGTGTGCTTGCATGTGTGTGCTTGTGTGTGTGTGTGTTGTATGTAAAACTTATTTACTGTTTTTATTTACTAACAATATTATTACATTAGTAAGAAACCTATATACATACATAGCAGCCTTTAAAGTGTTCAAAAATTATATATATACATATATATATACATGAATACATAAATGCCAATATATATATATGCATACATATATATTTATATATACATATATATATATATATATATATACATATATTTAATTCATATATTAATATATACATATGTGTATATAAATATACAGATACAAATTAAATTAATTAAATATCTTTTACTGATACGTACAATATAACAAATTTTCCCAAGTCTAAATATTAAAAAGGACAAAAAACCTTAGGCTTAATTTTAATTACTATACCAACCCCTTGGTTTATTTACTGATTTATTGTCCAGTATAAGAAAAAAAACATTAATCCGAATATTTCTTTTAAATCTTCTCCAATTTATTGTCCCGTATTCAAAAAAACAAAATCTGAATATCTTTTCTAAATGTTTAAATTAATGTTTGGCTCTTGTTTTATTAAATCATATTTCTTTGCAAAAGCAAAGTAAAGGAAAAGTATATTAATTTCTTAACCTTTCAGTTTTATATATATATATATATATATGTATACATATATGTATATAAGCCAGCCGTATTTTTATCTTTTTGTAAAACTAAACTTTATAGAGTACTGACGATGACCTACAGTAAAAAAAATTTTTTTTTTATCCCAAACAAAAAACTGAAAAGACTTTTCTTATAAAACACATTATTCATAATTTTGTTTCCTTCAGTTTCTTTTTTTTTCTTTTTTACTATTTAGGTAAACTTGTTTTATTGATAATGTTTGTATAATAAATGTATGCTACAGTTCACCGAAAGTAATTAACATTAAAATATTTAAAAAAATGTCTCTTTATATAATTAGAAACAAATTATAAAAACAAATTTAAAAAAAAAAACCTTAATTCCTTGGGGAAAGGAAAGTAATTAGTTTAAACATGGTTTACTTAGTTTCTTTTCTCTCTTTAAATGTAATTCTATTTGCTTATAGACCTTTTTTTGCATATTACTTTATATAAATATTTTATATTTTAAATATATTTAATAATTTCTATTTAAGTTTGTCTGTTTACATATTCATGAAAAACAAAATGTCTAAAAAACGGTATGTTTAAATGGATGTATGTATATATGTAACTATAGTAGAGGGGAGAAGTAATCGTAATTGTAGGTTATACTATATGTCGGTCATATATATATATATATATATATACACAAATACATGTATATATATATATATACATATATGCATAATTCAGTGTCTGGTTTTGTGTTTGTGTGTGCTCCCGCGTGTGTTTCTAAGATAATTTCACTAATAGTAATAGTTTTACATGCAGACACACATTTATCATTAAATTTATCTCATAATTATTATTAATGTTAATTACAAAAAAAAAAAAAAAAAAAAAATTAAAAAACTGAAATCTTTAAAAAAGGTAATATTAAGATTGAACTTTTTTTTTAAATGTAAACGTAAAATTGAAAATATTCATATATTAACATTTACACGTCGTCTTAGGAGATTTCTGAAGCAAAGAAGAAACTTTCTACTAATTTGCTATTAACAATAAATTATAAATGAAAATTTAGGCTTTTCTTTAAAAAACCAAAGACAACAAAAATATGTAATTAAAAAAATTCATATATATATATATATATATATATATATATATAATTTTTATATTTCTTCGTTTTTATTTGTTTTATTCAGCAGCATTTTGTTGATCTTTTTCGTTCCTATTAATAAAGAAAAGCTTAACCTCTTTATTGTTTCAGTTTATCAGATTGTTGTATTGTTTGAGACGAACGTGTTCTTATACTTGTTGTGGTTGGTTGTTATAAATCTAACTTTTTCCTTCCTTTAAACTCTTTAGACTCGTAAGTAATTTCTAGTAGTAGATTAGATCTCTTTAACCTAATTTGTTGTGGTTGCTTGTTTATTTTTAGTTTAGTTCAGTTAATTGTTTACACACATATTTTTCTTACTTTTGTTTTTGCACTAATATCATATAATTAACTAATTTGTTGTTGTTTTTTCTCTTTTCGTAAGTTAATTATAATAAATTAATTTAAAATTACATTATTTTTATTTTACTATCTTGTCGTAACGTTGCAATAAGAGTAAAAAGACCACGTTCCGCTATATTTAAGGTATAAAAATTCTCTTTTTCGGTTGCTTCTCAGAAGAATGATAAATTTGTTACACTGTTTTCTGATCTTAGTATATATATATATATACAGACAGAACTAAGCCATATTAATTTTATATAAACATGTATATATAAATATATATATATATATATATAAACACGCAACCACAACAAATTAGGTTAAAGAGATCTAATATA